TGTGTGTGTGTGTGTGTGTGTGTGTGTGTGTGTGTGTGTGTGTGTGTGTGTGTCTCTGGAAGTGTTTGCTTCACATGTGAGCATCTCCAGTGGTATAATAAGCTGCTGTCACGGCACAGCTCTGACAGAACCTCAGAACGCGTCTGCTTTTCTCTCCTGCGGCGCTGACCGACCCTCACTGCATGTCTTGCATGCGCTCTGTGCGTGCAGTTGTCGGCCACATCTGGCTGTATCAATTTTTCTTCTTTTCAGTGCCAGCTGACGTAATCATTTTCCCTCCAGAGCAGAGATGCATGCCGTCACGCCAACACAACGGCTTTCTTCTCGTACACAACTGAAATGACTAATAACCAAACATGCCGGAGGCTGATGTTATGTATATACATGATCATTAAAGTGAATAATCAATGATTTAAATATTTATTTTATCAGCTAAATAATTCATTATGTATCCATGCACACAACATCAGCTTCCAGTCTCATTTTTTGTTGTTGTTTTGACGCTCTCTACACAAACTAGATTGCAATCACTGAACTGTACCTCCATTCTGACCACATCTGATAACTTCTGAGCACTAAGTCCTCCAATGAAGGGAAACAAGAGTTATAAATACTCCCCCCAAACACCTGTTTCTCTTTACACCTGTCACTTCTTGTCACACTGCCACGAGACCTGCTCATAATCCCACTGGAACCCTGACCAGCCGATTCCTTCCACATACAGTGGGAAAACACTCTCTAGTCTCTACTATAACTGAAGAGGCCTTTACCAATCATGGACTTTAGACACATTGTTTTTGATCAAAAAACAGAATGCACATTCAGTTGAAACTATCATGCAACTTCGATATTTTCAAATATTCATATACGCATCATCTAACGCTTGTTAATGTTATTTTTCTCCACCCTGACACACAACAGAAACATGAAGACCTCAGACAGACACGTCAGAAGTGAGTGATGACGCTCTTACTGTAGCAGTTGTTGGGATCCTGCGTCCCGTTGATGTTCCCGAACTCGTCGATCATCAGAAACCACTGCGTGCGACTGTAGAGGCGTCGGATCCGAACGTCCCCTCCTTCCATGTAGTCGTAATTCCTGGTGTGGCGCTCGTATTTGGAGCAGTCGGTCACAGACGCCTGTCCATCGCAGACACAAACACGGCTGACCAGCAGCGCCAGCCACAGTCCACACGCAAACTCAGGCAGTTTCCATCGCAGCGTCCATTTGCGCATTATACTGCGTTTCTCAAGGAGTTCATGATCCACATACTGAAGGCAAAACTCAGATTGGATCTTCAAGCTGTGGGAGATCCGCTCGGACCCTTTCCCAGTACAATCCTCAGATGCTGGCGTCACCTCTGACCTCCAGCAGCAGAATCTCCTCAGAGCTGGAGGAGGCAGCAGCGTGTTAGTTTCTGCTGTTAATGACACAAATGAACAAATGGATGCTTCACACGTATGGAAGCATATAGGTAGCGAAATTCAATTTAAAACGCAATATGCAAAATGGCATTGTGTTTGCATATTGCATTGCCATTTTGCATATTGCATTTTAAATTGAATTTCGCTACCTATATGCTTCCATACACATGCTGTCCAATCCTGATGAAGATACAGGAGACAGGCCAGTTCCACACAGTTCCAGATATCTAGAGAGGGTTTATATATACATAATACTTATATATAGATAACATAGTAATGATATAAGATAAAAAAAGGATTCCTGAATTCAACTGAACACTAATTTTACACAAGATTTACTCAGAATTCACTGCAAGACATTTAATTGTTAAATGGCAGGGCTGTCTGTAGATGACTGACGCTGAAGTAAATGACCACTTCTGTGAATCGGCCGAGTGGGCACAGCTCACTATTCTATAATATTCAATTATATCGCAATATACCTCGGTCACTACTTTAAATGTCTCAATATTCCTGTTGCTACTTTAA